CCAGATAAGTTGTCTGGGCCCTGATCTTAAAAGTAATTCCCATGGTAGTACTGGCAAGAGGAGTTTAACATGGATCAACACAGACAACATTGTGTCATGACAGCAGTCAGAACTGCCTGCAACACTGCAGCTACAGCAAGAGAAAGCATCTGAAGTAGGTGGCTGCATGTTCACAGGGGATCACAAAATGTCTTTTCATATATGGATTCCTAGGGGTAATCAGAATACGAAGACACACAAAACCAGATGTACAACCAAAACCAGTAAAATAACTTGGTGCTATGTGGCTGCTACAGGACACAAAAAGAGATCTAAGAACCACATGAGCATTTTTTCTAACAGTACCATTTTTTAAGCTTTAGTAAACCCCACACATCAGTGCCATGTAATAAGCAAAGGAACAACATAACATTAAATAAGTGATTTTTTTGTGAACATATGAGAAAATGTATAAAAGAAGTATAAACGTATAAATGCTTCCTCCACCAAGAGCTGGACCTGTGCTTCTATGCTAACATGGATTACTCCATGTTATTTCAAAATGTCAAATCCCAACAATAAGAGGAATGCTTTGAATTCCCTTTTTTAAAGCTAATTTGAAATACATGCCGAAAACTTTCAGTCATGAAATACCAATGCACTGGTATTTGGTTAGTAACAAAAATATATAGTAAATCTCTTTTAAAAAGTAATTATGCAGATTGACAGTGTCAATATGCCTTATTCATTAACAGCTATATAAAGAATAAATTATATAAAATTATCATTCTGTTGAGGTAAAAATAACTTAAAGATGATACAAAATAAAACAAATTATTGGAGAATAATAATAAAGTGATTAGATCTTTAAAAAAAATCAGCTAATTACTTATGCTTTAGTCCATGTAAATACAAGCTGACAAGAATGCAGACACAGTAAAAAATATTTATTTCTTTGCAAGCCTTTAAAATTCACATATATTACATATATGAAAAAAAATCAGGATGTTCTAAACACAAAACCATTAATATTTTACCCCTTGGCTCTGGTACCAGCTCATGACTTGAGTGTCCATCCTTCCTGTAATCCCTAGTATAGTAACTGTACAGACAGCAAAAAGTGACTAACAGCTCTGAGCTTCATTAAACTCATACAACACAGACTAAGTGAGAGGTAATTACATCCTGATGGAAAGTGAAAGAAACATTTCCATGGGGTAGCCTGTGAACCATGCCAAGGGTAATACAAAGAGAGGAAATATAAGTGTTCCATGAAACCCAAGTCCCCTAAGGCTATTATTTTATATACTGATAAAATTTACAGATTTTAGTTCCTGGCTTGATTTTTCCAAGATATTTTGCACGTCTCCTTTGAAAATCAGACCTTCAAGATCATCTAGTCCAACCATCCCCTCAGTACTTCCATGACCACCCCTGAACCATACAGATGCTCTTTCATCACTTCCAGAAATGATGACTTCACACATTGGCTGGGAAACTTATTTCCATGTATAGCTACTTTTTCAGTGAAAAAAAATATGTAATCTGAACCTCCCCCAGCACAGCTTAAGGCCATTTCTTCTCATCCATTCATTTGAGACATGGCAGAAGAAAATTACCCCCATCTCACTACATCCTCCTTTCAGGCAGTTGTAGAGAGTGATGAGGTTTCCCCCTTAGCCTCTCCTTCTCCAGGCTAAACATCCCCAGCTCCCTCAGCCATTCCTCATAAGACATATTTTCTAGACCATTTGCCAGTTCTGTTGCCTGTCTCCAGACATGCACCTCAATGTCCTTCTAGAAGTGAGGGGCCCAAAACTGAACACGGTGCTTGAGGTGCGACCTCACCAGTGCAAAGTAAGGCGGGATAATCATGTCCCAAGTCCTGCTGGCCGCTGTTCTTGCTACAGGCCAAGATGCCATTGGCCTCCTTGGCCACATCTTTCTAAAAAGATAATTGAACAGTGAGATAATAAAGCTCAACTAGATATTAAAGGACAGTAAGACTAAGCTACCAGTGGGAAAATATCTTAAAAAAATTATTCCTTCATCTATAACTCCTCCAGCTAATATTTCCGCTACACAGATAGTAATCACCTTCAGTTTTGCTCATCTGATATGTGTTATATATCAGGGAAATTATTTGTAACTTTCAAGTTAATTTCAATTATTTGTTACCTTTCAAGTTTTTTACCTTGACCTTTTACACTGGAAGAAGAGATTGTATCCCTGAACATTTCTCTTTTTCCTAGCCACATTACATAATCTGATAAAAGGAGGCTTGCACACCTTGCCTGTACTATGCTTTTACATGATTGCAAAGAAACATTTTTTAAAATTACTTCTTTGATAAGGTATTCAACATTTATCCATAAGAAAATTCATATCAGTTGCCTGTCTTACTGTGAGATTAATGCTTTACACAGACTTCTTTGATAAGGTATTCAACATTTATCCATAAGAAAAATTCATATTAGTTGCCTGTTTTACTGTGAGATTAATGCTTTACACAAGACCCTATTTTTTACACTCTGACTATAAAAAGAACATGGGAGAACTGCTCAGATTCAGAATATGACTTTTATGTGCAAGGTCAGTGTATTCAGAAAACTTTTCCAACCAGAAACTTGATCGCAGGAAGGCTTTTATTATGCCAAATTGTCAGTGGCTGTAACTTTACCGTTAAAAATAGAAAGGTAACAGCTAATACAAATTAACAGTGTTGCAATCATCAGACAGCAGTGACCAACCATGACCTGCCTCTTCCTGACCCCTTGAAATGCTGGAATTACTATTGTCTATAGAAAGCTCAACACTGACTTATGCTAGAGCAGGAAATATTTTAAAATAATGTCAAAATGTCAAAGCAGTCCAATTTCAGCAATTACTTTTATCATGGCTATATTCCTCTTTTGTGCAAACACTCTTGAGGTTTCTAGCTGCACTTATGATATCCTATCACTCTCCAGTTATACAAATTATATTTCTTCGTTTTTATCTATCTGTACACATATACACACACATGGAATAAATATATATATCTATTTCAAAGCCATTTCCTTTTAAAAGACATGAACTTCAGGTTCATAAACTAAATTTTTTTTTCTGTCAAACACCTGCCCCTAAGAATGTGACTCTTTCAGGCTTAATACAAATTTCCCACTCTTGCTCAAATGTGTGTGCGAGGACATGAGCATGAAGATGTTACTCAACTTTTAACATGACAATTTTCTTGCAATCTTCTAGCATACAGAGATTCCAATGTGAGTACTAACTACTCAAAGTAGAAGACTACCTTCCATTCCATGAGTCTGCAGAAATAAATTAATTCGTCAGCACATAATTTAAAAATGTATTTGAATATGGTCAAGGAGAAGGTGTTTATTATAAGTGCTGCAACAATCTGTTTGTTTTCTGCACTAGATTCCTGCACTGATTTAGTAATTCACCATAAACTTTTAACTTTCCAACACACTTTAACATGCAGGAAAGAAAAATATTTCAAAATTTCTCTTTTTGTTTTGTTTTAAAAAACGGCATGATCAATTTCGAAAATATTTAAACTGGATAGTGTTTGCATAGTGTTATAACAGCTTGTAGTGTGGATGGACAAACAATCCCTAGATATGGAAACAGTACCTTAAAATATTCTATTGGAATGCAATCTTCTGCACAGAGAAAAATTCTGTGCTTTTTAAAAGCTATACTTTAAAATTGTTTGAAGAGTTATGCCTAAATATTTTTCCAGTACAAATGAATAATTATTCTAATAAGCAAAAACATATATGGGTGTCCTATTTTAAAAGCACATTGTGCTAAAAAAAAAAAAAAAAAAAACCACAAAAAAAACCCACCAAAAAAAGAACAAAAAAAAGAACAAAAAAAAAAAGCCCCCTCTTAAAAAAGGCAATCTTCCAAAAGATTCTCACAAACTTTTCTATACACAAACATTAAAGTCATTCAGTGGTCAAAATATGGATTCAGCAAGTTCACCCACTAGTGGAAACTCAGAAGAATAAATGTATTTGCACAATATGTCTCACCAGACAACAGTTTCAGATAATCCAATGTATTACAGATCATCAACAGATATAGAAGGATTTTAGACGCAGGTTTTATGCTGTTTTGCTGGCTATTCTTTTATTTCTGATAAACTAATAAAGAAGAGAAATGTGCTGTGACATAGGAATTGGAATTTTATAACTAAATACATCAAAATATGGATTATGAAGGTTAAAATCCAGAGAGGAAGACTGCACTGATCCTAGCAGAAACACTGCTGTTTTAAATTGTGTGGAGTCCTGTCTTTTCTTTTGATATACAAAAAGTCACTACTCTGCTGCCAGCCAGTGCACATTCCCACCACAGTTTCCACTGAACACAGATGTGCTTTCAAGTGTACATCTGAAATACTTTGCTGATATTAAAGATTCCAGGCAGAAATTGACTCATTAAAGCATGTGTCTTTTAGACTCACCTAGCAGCCTCATCAACACCAAAATTGCTACTTTAAGTTCTGGGTGAAACACAGTCCAAATTGCCAGTAAGCTTTAAAAAAATACAAAGAGCAAAAAAAAAAAAAACCAAAAAAAACAAATTACCAAAAAAACCCAAGCACCTATACATTGATATGACCAATCAAGTTCCCTCCTAAGAGAAATACTATACAGAACAGATATAATAAACTGCTCTTGCTTGTTATTTAGTGGTGGCAAGAAATCAAAATATGCTTGGAGTAGTCATAATGACACTTGATTTGGGGAAACAAAAAAATCTAAGATGCAGATATAATTTCAGAAGATATGCTTTTTAACCAAAATCCTCAGAATACATAGGGCACTAGTCCATCACTGCAGAATATATATAAAAAGTATAAATATCTGAACCAACATTCAAATAAGTGCATATGTTTTTTCCTCCAAAATGATACGATTTTTATATAACATGATAAAGGAAAAAGAAAATAACCTAGAATTTAGTACTTGAAGAAATGAGGTACAGAAAGTTACTGTAATACTTACCACTGTGAAATTCATAACCTTCAAAATCCATATTGTCATTGCTAAATTAACAATCATGGTAACCAACAGCAGAAGGACAAAGAAGTATAAGCACCTCTTTCGCCATCCATAAATCCCTACTGGGTAAAACTGAGGATGTTCAGTCCTTGGAAGGCTGTTCTGTTGTGTTGCTAATATATACTGCTCTCGTGTCATCTGGAAAAGAAAGATGTAAGCATAAGTAAGGAAATGAGAGGTCTGTTTTTCGCATGTAATATTACATGAAAATTATCTCAGAATGTAAAGAAAATCAGTTTCTGTGAGCACAGGAGGGATACATTCACCTAGCATTAGTCACATCAATGTTATTTGTACTGGGCATCTAGTATGAATTTGATGGATTCTTTGAATTTAAAGTAAACCTTTGGTTTCTATTTCAAATTAGATTTGAATTTCAAATTTATCAACAAGAAACTATTAGAAATATAAAAGTAACCCATGCATGTATTTTACACTCTAATTCTTAATGATTTTTTATTGTCTTTTATGAGATCATTTAGAAAAATATGGTTCTGGAGAAAGAGAGTCATGTACCTTTTCTTTTGTACTGGTTTTGGCTGAGGTAAAAGCAATTTTCACATAGCTTGGAGCCAGTACACTCTTTTGTACAAATAGAAGAAAAATCTCATCTTTTTAAAATATATCTTTCATAAATGAAGCTTTCAGTCTTTTATTTTACTTAGCAAATTGAATTAATAATTGATGCTATTATACATCCTCCTTATTTTACAAAAAAAAAAAATTCTTTTGCCATTTAAGAGATGGATACAATTATTATCTTTGAATTCCTGAACTAGTTTAAATTCTTCTCACACACAAGCAAGCAGTAACCATTTGGAAACTGCTTAAAGAACTTTCTATTAATACTTCCTTAAAACAAAAGTATTTATGCCATTTAATAAGAAACTGTTTCATTTTTTTTTTCCTCCACAATTGTCTTTTACAGGTGTTCATATTCAGCTGTCACATTGCCTTTAGACCAGAAGGTATTAAATTTTCCCTGTGATTTAAAAATTAAATTAAAGCCGTATCATTCTGTTTATGCATGAGTCCTTTCCATAATATGCCCATTAGAAATGTTATTTTAGTAGGCTTTGTGCTCAGGAGGAAGAAGACAATACAAAACAAAACACGAAAATACAAAACAAACAAACACAAATTCAACAAACTTATAAACCAGATAAAACAGTCAATTTTGAGCTTAAAAGCTGCCTTTCTTTTGACTAAAAAAAAGTAAAAATGCACAAAAATGAGTCAGTCGATCCAACGAGAAATAAAAACCAGATTACATTCATTTGAAGGATCAAAGAAGTGTTGATTTTATATTTTTAAAATGTGAAGCTCAAAAATGTTTATGTAATTATCTGTGTTGCTAGATATTTATCCAAATCAACACTCTTTAGGTTTCACCATTCTTCTAGTGAATGAGATATTAATGGAATAAATTATCTCACAGTGAATAATTAGAGCCATAAGTCATAGAACACACAGTCCATATTGTGACAGTATATATATCACTGAAATAAGTCAAGTCAGAAATAAAGAATTTAATAAGCAGATTTTAAGTAAGTTAGCAAACAGGCATTTTGTCTTTTTTTTTTTTTTTTCCCAATAATGATTTCTTCTCTTTGCCCTCAATTTCAATTAAATGCAATGTTTAGTGGCTTATTTATGTGGCGAATTTTACAAGCAAAGTTTCCATCAATGACATTTCTCAATCCTCCCAAAACAAGGTATGGCCAGGTTTTAAGACCTTGCATCATCTTTTATCATATGCTGGCAGTTTTCATCCTAATTGTGTGAAAATGCCTTATAAATCCAGAAACTGAGTACACAAATAGGTTAATCAGCTTCCTCCTTATAATGATTTTCTACACATTTATTTAGCCAACCATTGTAACAAAAAATGCAATGTATGATTAAACTTTCAGATTAAAAGTAACTGGTTAATTCTACACAGTTTCCATTTTCTTGATTTAACGTTATATATTACCTATGAAAAAAAAAATTCATTAGAAATAACTGGAAAGTCAACTTTCAGACCATGACAATGTCAGAAGTAGCACTATTCCTAAAACTGTGAACATAGTCCCATGGAACAGACCTTTGCAACGCAATCATTAAATACAATGACATTTTATTCCATCACCACAGCCAGGCACCACTCAGTTCCCTCTGTATACTGTTCAACTCTGTGAGCCTTGGTGAAGCAAGCTCTGCACCTGCAGCTCATGGAGAGGCATAGGGGAGGAGAAATCCACACCACAGCCTGTGGAAGATCCCATGTTGGAATAGCCTGAGAGGTGAGAGTTTGAGAGCCCATGCTGAAACAGGAGCCTGTCTGGACTTGAGAACCCATGGAAAGGAGCCCATACCTTCTGGAACATAACACTACTCCTAGACATTTTCATTACTGATTGATTCTCTGCATATTATTCCTTTAATTCATAGAAAGAATGAAAACATAAAGGTAATTTAAAATATAAATTCAGAGTATAACAGCATCTATACCCAATATTCATTTGAGTTGATAAGGAATTGGATGAGCTGTAGAGCTTCAGATGCAGGAATGATAGCTAGCAAGGAAAATTCATCATACCATCATTTAAAGGGACAAAAATCAAAAAAGCAATCTGGTCATGACTAGCCATATTTCAAAACATCATAGAGATGATTCACCTGAACCAGCTAGCTCTCCCCACTCTCCCTGAAAGTAACACAGCCTCTTGGCCAGCAGCTAATGCTGTGGAGATCTCTCTTTGCATGACACTACAGCAGGCCATTCATTTTCCCTCCCCTCACACAGTATGTGGCATTAAGCTTACAGCAGAAAATAATGTTATTGGTTTCTTTGTAGACTTTATCTGAAAGTTTACCCTACTGCATCACACAGAGCAGGAAGTGCTATAAGAACCATAGCACTTGTGTAGCAAATACACAAATGTTACATCCCCACATGGACTATAAAATCAAGACTTGGGATGAAATCAAGAAGCTCATTATTAAAACAAATATGAAGATGGCAAGTAAGTGAGTTGTATCTTTTGAAAAAGCCCGATGCATAAACTGATTAATTTTCTTAGAAAGAATTTAAAATGCTTGCTGTGACTTTCAGTATGTGCTGAAGCAGATTAATTGTTCCTTCTCTTTCGCAGGTGTTTGGTAATCTAGAACTCTTCCAAAATTAACAGAAAAGTATTGTATTATCTTGATTTCGTTGGGATTATATCAACTATGACTTGATTGACAAGGTAGTAGAGCTGCATTCTTAGAGAATTAAATATTGGAGGGAGAGAGCAACTTCCTCTGAAATTTTTATATGGGCTACACCTGACACCTGCTAAGTCTTCTCCTTTTGGCATTAGCCATTCAAGCCTTTCAAAGGCAGCCAAAACTGTGTCAGCAACTGACCCTACCACAAATCATTTACCAGATGAGATAAAAGCCTAATGAATCTATTGTACATTTCATGCAAAACAGCAGAAATCCTTATTGCCCTGATGGGCAAATATTTATTTGTTGGATTTTACTTATTTTTCTCTTTAGTATAATTGGGATCATTACTAAAACTGCCTCAGCAGCTCAAAAGAATTTGGAGAATGTGGTTCTTCTGAGACTTGAACTAGGATATGTCATGGTATCACAGAATGGATTTCAAAGAGATTATCTGGTCCAACCCCAAGGATGGAGACTAAACAAACTGTGCGTGACAATAAAATAAAAAAGTATTTATCATAGACTACTTTTGTCATGTAGGTGTCAAATCAGAGGGATTTCAAGATTCTGCTCTGAGGGTTGGATGCTTTTTTGTTCTGCTGTGGATTTTTCTTCTTGTAACCTTTAGAAATAAAGGTAGAATTGTACACAACACTCCAAAACTGTGTTTTCTAATGAAGACATCTGAAAATCCCTTTGCATCCTTGAAAACCTAAAGGAAAAAACACATGCAAACAACTCCACCATCAAGCTGTACATAATGTCAGTTGATTACATAATTTATGTGATCTGAAGTTTAATAATTCAGAAGAATCTTCTTTTTTCCTTGGCCACAAAGTACAGTTTTGTCATCAATGTCAATGAGGCTTAAGTTAGTATGTTTTTACTGACAATTTGCTGGGCTTTATGTTGACAATTAGAATTTAATTTTTTCCTAATTCAATACAGTTAGATTACTACAGAGACTTCATTATAGCCACAGGCAGGACAGCAGCTGAGGTACACAATTTTCTCCCTGTGATGCCAGTGCTTACTAAACACTTACTGAAACAATTGTCTATAAAAGGAAAATAAATGTTTGCATCTTGGATATTTTTCTCCTATAAAATTATCACTTCACAAAAATCAATATCAGTCACCTGATACTATTACCATTATCACTGAGTGTGAGCATTTATGGCTGTTCTGTTCACCATATTTAATTGTAATGTTCTCTGCACAATGAAGTTCACAGCATGTTAAAAGAATAAATAATCATGTAATGAATAGAATCATACTTTTTACAACTGTTCTGTGACTTGAAATATTTTAAATAATAATATTGTGCAGTACTGAATTTTCAAGGAAGCTGGATTCAAATCCAGCTCAGGCTTGATGTTTCTCTAAAAATATGCCTTTCTAAGCTACATTTTCATAACTGAACCACATTTCAGCGCATTTTTAGTGTATTTTAAAAGAAGCTTTGGTTTAAAAAACTTATTATTTCACTTTATTATACTTTATAATTATCCAACTGCATGTGGTTTTTGAGAACAACTTTTTGTGGTGCTCTGTCTAGCTACACTGACTATTACGGACAACCTTAATCAAACTAGGTGGGATCACAGAAGTTTAGTAACAGCAACACAGGATTACATATAGCTGAGCTGTCTTAGAGAAAAGCAGATGCCTAAGGAGACAACTGCAGCATTCTGCCCTAGCAACTGTCATAGGTCTCTGGACTTTATCTCAAATATTCCTTCTGCTAGACAAAGCGATAAATTTTGTCTTACTGAATAAATTCTAAAAGACTAATGAAATAGCAAAAAGTCAGGAAAACTACAGCAAACCATTGGATCCCAGTTTAAAAACCCATGACTTTTCTCTTAAACCTGGTGGGCCCTCATCCCTGTTGCTCTACATATCACAGTAAGGCACAGCACATTCACAAGTGCTAGGAC